GTTAGGCACATTCGCTAAAAGGCTGGCATTTAATGGCAGGGTTGGTAATGTTCTCCGGATACACTCTTTAAGATTTTGGTTGAAATTGTCTTTAGGTCCTGACAGAAATTAATAACTCATGTGCTCCGAAAAAGGAATGAAGAAAATCCATCACCTGTAGCAGATGAAACCCTGTAAAAACTTTGACCAATGTCTGCCACGAGGTACCAATCTGATGAACCAATCACACGCCTCCCTGGCTCCCGGCTCGTTCTCTACCGCTTGCGTGCACTAGCCCAAACTCAAAGCGCGTCACAGATGACAGAGTTTATACTGTGAGTTTGTCGCTGGCCGTTGTGAGTAGTAAAATAGTCACAATTTAGTGTTTACTTACCGCTGGATGAGACAATTTTAGCAATTTAGCTAAATGCAAAAATGTTGTGCTGCCGCCTCTGCCTAAGCCTCTCCTCCCTCAAAATAAACAGAGCTTCATCAACATTTGCTTCTCATTCTTGAAAGTATTGGGTAGGAATCTCTCTACATTAATTGCTTGATTTTGGTTTTCTTGATAATGCAGAATCATGACTTTTAGGGGTCAGAGCTGATGAAGAGGTATTCAGAAGAAGTCTCTTTGTTTGGCTTTTAGTTTAAATATCAATAAACTCTCTCCGTCTTTAACAATAAATTTAGCAAATCTAGAGATCTGGTCTAAAACATAGAGTAAGAACTATCCAGTCTATAAAGATAAGGTTATTGAATAAGATACACATCAGGCACTAATACAAACAGACTCTCTGGTGTGCTGATCTGTCCTGATTGTAGCTCTGACAGACACAAACATCCAGGCGGAGTGAGGAGTTTATTACATGTTCTCGCATGTCTGGGCTGATCTGAGATGAGTCCATCTAGTAGCTTGAGTGAAAAACTGTCCTGACGTCTGCAGTGATGCATCCTGGGTATGAAACCTGCTTAAAGAATGAGGGATGTCTTTTTTATTGTCGATAAATCCTGAGAGACGACAAAAGCCATCAAAGCAGAAAAAATATTATTTGTCAGACTTTAGATATACTAAAAATTGGATTCTGTCTGTTCCATAGACTGTGTAGTCAGTAGTTCAATGAATCTGTGTTTGTTATGTTTCCTTTCGCTGTTTCTTCTCTACGATGTTGATTTGGTGCATACAAGGAGTAAGCTGTTTTTAGCGATTGAAAAAGTGTCACAGATGTTCTTTTAGAGTCAAAAGCACCCAAAAATGTTCAACTTAACATCTCCGTTTTCCTGCGGTTGCCGTGTGATGAAAAATGCTTCATTTTGAAGAGATGGAAAGTCCCCAAGCCCGTGCCGCAGCTCCAGTGATCAATGATGGTCGCCACTTTCACAAGCTCTTTTGGCCCTCCAGGCATCCACGCCAATAATGTGACTGGAAACTAAGAATAGCATCAAGTAACTGATTCAAATAAAATAAAAATCTCAGAAAAAAGAGAACTTGAACACCAACATAATCTGGGTTTGAGAACAATGTATTTCATGCGTTGTTACATTTTAAAGTTTGAGTCATATCCCATCTGTCAACACAGGTGGCGGGGGTGTATGACCTATACTTCATCCAGTCAGCAGGGGGAGCTCTAATCATTTTGGCTTCAATTAAGGCGACATGTTATTGTCCATCTTTATACAGTATTTGTTTTTTTCAGTGGATTTGCTAACAATATCCCCTTTGAACAAAGAATACAGAAATATTGAATAATATAGCCAAATGTAATGTGTCATGCTCAGAGCCTTACATAAAAATACATTGTGGTAATATAAAGCTGCATTCATGAGTAAGCAGTAACTGCTTATCTGCTTCTGCGTAACATTTATAAGGAAATTAAAAATATGATAAAAGAGCTTGAACAAATTAGCTCACAGCACAAGAGAGGAAAAAAAGGTGAGATTGCACGTATGAGATCTGTGAAACAAGACAGGAAATCAAGAGGTATTTCATAGGACAAACAGTGGCAGGGTCAGGCTGTTGGGATAAAGATGACTCACTCATAATGAAAGTGATCATCATGGTACTGGGCCTCAGAGAGCAGCGGCAGCGGCAAACAGCACGGCAGATGTCAAACAGCTTTCACTTTCCCGGGCTTTTAAGCTGACTCAAGACATATGTGCTGCTTCCATTAGTGGGATAGCCTGTATTCCTCTCAGTGCTTTCCCCTTTCACTCTGTTCTCCTGACGTACTGTCAGAATGAAACTCAAATAATCTAGAAGTAATCTGTCTTTTATGCGACTTGTAGCTGCAGGAAAACCACAAACCCACAGTTCAGCTTCCTACAATGTCACAGTGTGTTAAAACTGTTGTGGCTGCTGCTCACTTGCTGCAGCTCGTTTGCCTGTGGTTTCCTCTGGTTGGGATTTGGTTACTGCTGGTTCACCACAGCACTGCCTCTCTGATTTACACACTCTCTCTCTCTCTCTCTGTCGTTCTTTTCTCCACTGGAGCCATTGAAAAGAGGAAAAAAAAGAAAGAAAAAGTCCAGAGGCTGTTCTCCTCGGCGTCTTGTGAGTCAGTCAGTGAGCCACCTGCTTTGGCCTCCCTCGTTGTTTTACCCGAGCTCATTTGGAGCTGCGGAGCTCTTTGCCTTCCAGTGGCAATGACATAATTTATACGTTTTCTCAAAATCTTAAGCTGGATTTTAAAGGAAGGACAATACAGTAGAAACCACAGAAGGCTCTGAAAATGATTAGAAGTATCTTTAAAATATCTTAAGGGTAAAACTGCGATCTATTAGGCACACAAGTCTTTTGATGGAAATCATTGCATATACTCCCAGGGTCAGGGACCAACTTTGCGAGAAAGTTTTATTATTTGATGAAGGTAAAGATAGATAGTAGGTGTACAGTAGAGGGCTGCATGGTGGTGCAGTGGTGAGCGCTGTTGTCTCAAAGCAAGGAGGTTCCTGGTTCTGGTTCAAATCCCAGTCACTGTGTGGAGTTTGCGTTTTCTCCCTGTGCATGTGTGTGTTCTTTCCAGGTACACCGGCCTCCTCCCACAGTCCAAAGACATGCTCGTTAGGTTAATTGGCGACTCTAAATTGCCCGTAGGTGTGAATGTGAGTCAGGGCTGGTTGTCTGTCTCTATATGTCAGCTCTGTGATTGACTGGTGAACAGTCTAGTGCGCATCGCCCGAATGACAGCTGGGATTGGCTCCAGCCCCCCCGCAACCCCAAACGGGGAAAGCGATATAGATAATGGATTGATGGTTGCACAGTAAGGTCCAGATGAACATCCATCTATAAATCATCTCTGATTAAATCATAAAATCAGGAGCTCCAACCTCATGAAAGACAACCCTCTTCTGTTTCAAAAGCTATCCAGTGATTTCTGTCTATTAAAGAATACATGCAGAACAAAACCTGTCAGGAACTAAACCAGCAGGAATGCTCATGGTGTAGCTTTTCTCCAAATAAAATAATTTCGAGGGGAAAAGAAAGTGGAGCACAGGTGCAGTGCACAGCTGATTCCCTGCCTTCATGGCAAAACCTCAATTTCTATTTGCAATGTCCAAAGCATGATGGGATCTGTGATGCCAGAAACTCTACATAAATATGATGAATTGCCGTAAGTAATACAAAAAATCAACAGGTGTCAAATCAACGCAAGATTTATGTGTTTGTTTTACATTTTTGACTACATGAAAAAGGCCCGGAAGACATTCTTATCTGCCCAGAAAGTGTGCAGATTATTTCTTTGTCTTTTTCTTGATCTCTTAGAACAGAGTTGCTGAACACTTTTCAAATCAAACTTAAGACACCTTAATACCCCTCAAACAAAGAAAAATTAGTACCAGATTTCATATGGGAGTCAACGGCTTTGATTCTCTATGTCTCACGTTTAAAAACAGTTTCTTGACCCTGCCAACCATTCCCTTTTTTTTTTTTTTTATCTCAAAACCAAAATTTCCTTGAATCTTCTTCTCATTCTTTTTTTCTATGAATGCATACGTCTACTCTGTTTTAAATGTGTCATAAATATCATGAATTGTCACCTGAATTAGCAAATCCATAAAAAAATGTTTTAAAGTGCCATCTAAAGTTTGAGACCTCTCACAAGTAAAAGTAAGACTTTTTAAGACATCATATACTAAGAAAGAAATACTTTCTAAGGACCCTGAGGGGAAAGCAGCCAAAATGTCTGGACCAAAGCTTCTTCTTCTTTTTTTGGTAGCAGGTAGCAGTCTTTACTGATTCAGTTGTTCCAAGGTACTGACACATCTCATAAAGCACCATGTTTCATTAAATATAGTTGTTCTTTCACTCTCTCTCTCTCTGGTTAATAATATTTTTCTACATCTTTGTCTCTGTCTCTCTCTCACTGTAATATCTCACCATCATCTAACTGATGGCTTATCAGAATCCCACATCCATGCCGAGGCAGCGGGCTGTTCATTGGGTACTAAAAAGTCAAATTGTGGTGCTGGGTGTACAGGAAATAAGGAAGCAAACAGTCAGCAGTAGCAGGCAGTTAAGAAACTCATTACCTTGCAGCACATTACGGCCTGAGAGCGTCACGGTAATAACTTTACTCACACTGCCAGTTTAGTCAGGGTTTACTCTCGTGTGTGACACCAGTGAGGCAGCTGTGTGGGGTTTTGTCTGTGTGTGTGTGTGTGTTTGCTCATAATCTGTGCACCTGCCTCCTGTATCCTCGGCTTAATACTGTCCCCATTCTCTGTGCAGCATTGATATCATAGCTTAGCCTGCAGCCAAAGCGAGACCGTCACGTGGCGCCTGTTTAGTGCGGGTATAAATGATAGGACTTCCATTAAGAGGATGGAACACATTACAAAACAGCTTTATTACACAGCTGGTCACTGCTCATTTCCTGATACTGCTTTACTGCCAACATGTAAACTGTTATGAATATATTATTGTTGAATTAATATCTTCCTCGCCATCTCTTCCTGCCCTCTCTTTTCTTCTTGCTATCTTCCCCTCCGCTGTCTCGTCTCTCCCGTCGGATCTCCTCATAAAGCAACAGCATAGCAGCCTCTGCAGTGTGTGCCTTCAACCTGAGCGCCATCACCCAGGCCTTCAACGGGCCCTTCCGCTCCCAGGAGAACCCTCGCTCCACCTGGCTTCCCACACCCAACCCCATCCACAACTTCCAGGTTAGTCTAAACACATTAAAACAATTCTAATGCCAGCTACGTCAGTCCGTGTTAGTCTCTTTTGTTCATCAATTTGCCGAAATTCAGCTCATTCCCCTCTTTGTTGTATGGAGTTAGATATAATCCATACTACTTTTTTAAACTTAAAACATGAAGCTACAGCTAGGAGATGATTAGCTTTTTATAAACACAAGAAAAAAAGCTATCCAATATGCCGTCTACCACATTCAGAGCCATTTCATTAGCTAGGAGAATAATGTTTTCATAGGACGTCCCACCAAAAACTGCTCATTTGTTTACACTACATTGATCACCTCCACACACTTCCTTTAAACGGAATCACAAAAATTGAACATAAATGCATCTAATCATCACAATAAGTCGCTCAATTCCAGCTGAAACTAAGCTTGCCAATTTGTACTAATGGCTGTGGATGATGAGATTCAGAACAGAGTCAAATCAAGCCCCAATCCAAACAAACTAATATCCTTGTAAGTACAGCGGAAATCTCTTTGATTTCCAAAACATGTCTTTTCCGGCAGGGTGTAGAACTCCTGAGAAAATTCTCATTGGATATTCACCAAAACAAGCTTAACTAAACTCGTCTCTAATCCAGTATCTTAAACCATTTGGTGTGGAGTGCTTGCTGGCAGCGCTAATATGAATGGTTTCAGGCACTTTACGTTACCCAAGAAACTCAATCCAGCAGAGAGAAAAGGTAACATGAAAGCATTCAGCTTCACTTGTGGCTGACAGCATGGGTTAGGGGCTATGGGCACCAATGGCAAAGAGCAGATGTTTTCATGTTCCTGTAGATTCTTCAACTTGTATGTACTGTATACCCTCTGGAATGTGCCAATTGGTATGATGATCACTAAATAACACAACACTGGTTATAAAGTACATTGCAAAGTACTCTTAAAAAACTACTGCAATAACATTGTTGGTTGCAAACCAGCCTTAAAGGACTGATCATTATTTCACACATATAACAAAACAAGTGCGAATAATTTTATACAATACATAGAAATTGAGTTTCTTTTCATATAGACGTCAGATACTTTCTTAAATTGAAAAACCGTTGCTCTAAAACCATCTACTGCTCTGTCGTCCAAAAAATGGATCCACCAGCAAATCAATCGCTCATTTCAACTCCCAAAGAAAGAGCAGAAGCTGAAACACACAGCTGAGCTCTGCTGCTCAAACAAAGCCTTGTGCAGGCTGTCATTTCATATTCATTCTCCTGCAGTTTCTCAGTAAACTGTTGCAGTCACATCATTATCACATTGTATTCTTGCTCCCCCAGAAAAAAGTTGCAATCACTGAGAGTAGAATTAAGGATTGATACAGATCCAGAACTTGTATTGATCTAGTGAAGCTCGTGACTGGGCCTGTGAGGTACTTTCATTTGTTCGGTTTCTTTCTGTGTCACATTTTCCTGTGTCCACGCCACACTTTCACATCCTCCACGCATCACTAATCACATCCCTCTCTCCTTTATCCCTTGTTTCCAGTGTGGAACGATAGAAGACCAAGGTCCAAATGAGGGTTTGACGGAGCGCAGTCTGCAGGACGCCCAGCGGCTCTACCTGATGAATGATGTGGTCCAGCCGGAGTCTGTCGATCCTCTGGTCATGCAAGATGACGTTCGGTTTTCCAACCTGGTCGTGGACATTGTTCAGGGCATGGACTCCCTCTACCACGTCATGTACATCAGCACAGGTGGGTCAACGAGGAGAAATGAACTCGGATACAGCAGGGATATTGATTTTTCTGCATACAGGAGATGATTTTTTTGATATGTCTTCTTCTCCTTATCCAATCAGAATATGGCACCATCTTAAAGGCACTGGCTACGCCCAACAAGAACCTACAGGATGTTACCTGGAGGAGATGGAGCTCCTCCCATCAGGGGTGCGAGAACCAATCTTGAGCCTGCAGATCCTGCACAGCGACAGGTCTCTCTTTGTTGGGCTCAATGACAGAGTGCTAAAGATCCCACTGGAGAGGTGCTCCACCTACAAAACTGAGACGTGAGTACAAGATAAACCCACTTTATTGAGGAAAATATAACCCAGGACTTACATTCATTACATTTAACTTGTACAATGTCGTTTTAAAGGGTTAAGAAGTCAATGAACAAGGTCGAATTTTCTTTTTTCTTTTAAAAGTACCAATGAATGGAATAATTGGATTGAAGATCGGGGTTGGCTGTGGCTCAGAGCGGATCTTAAGTATATAAGCAGTTCTAACATGCATGTTGAAGTTTTTGGGGAAGACATTGAACAGAAGCTGAACCTGAAATAGCTTCAGAAGCCAAAGCCATCAGCTGATAAATGTGTGTGGATCGGCATCGATAGGCATTTCTGATTTTTGCATAGCAGCCTCTGCCATCAGTGGACTAAAGTGTGAAAGAGTGACGCTGACATGTCCTGTGAATTGCTTTGAGTGGAGGTAAAACTAGAAAAGTGCTACATAAGTGCATTTCATTTACCATCATAGAAACACTACGGTCTGTCTAAGACAACCTCAGTGTATTTTATCACCTAACACCTAACAAATAGAGCGTAACAACAGTCTCCAAAGGTAAATGTTTGAACACAGGTTCTGTTCAATCAAAGTCTAAACAATGCTGGCTCTTTGCTCAGAACTGCTCAGGGCAGCAACTTGCTTCAATTTGGATATGTAGAATAAATGGACCTGGGCTTGCTTTAATGATGCATCTGGGATTGTGACCCCCCCTGGTTCAATTCTCATACAGTATGGACCTTGGTTGGGTGCCATTTTATCTGTTCTCTCTTGGCATTAAACCAAAGCCAAACAGGAGACAGGAGTCGTCACCCTCTAAAATCATCTGTGCGATACAAGCTATGTATATTTAATTGTGCATTTAATGCTTTATGCGGTGGATTAATCTTTACCTGTTGGTCCTCTTTGAGGGTAATTATCTGTCCTCCACTACGATTAATGTCTCATAGACCTTGCTTATAATCATTAGAGACCTTATATGGAACCAGACAAATTAACCAGGCTGTATCTTCTCACTAGATGGGGAAATTAATTGTTGTGCCTGACTTTTTTCCAGTCATGACGTTTTGCATTATACAAAAGAAAAGTGCTGTTCTGGCTTTTGTTTGTGTCTGAATCAGAGGGATGAACTGAAAGTGTGTGTCGGGCTACCTCACACACTTGCCAGAGAAGTTTCTCTGAAGGCATGGATGTGTGTAGCAGCAAGCTACAAAGCCGCAGATATGAAATGGAAAGAGAGAGAGAGGGGCCTTTTGCTCCTCCATCTCGAGCCTCGGTGTTATTCATGTGAAAATCGGAGTCTCTCGGGGGAGTGAGGGGAGGAAAGCTCACCGGCTGTTTCTCCAACCTTCAGTATCTCATCAGTGCTCAGAATCAGGATCCTCTTCCAGCCACCTAGGCCCTTCAAAGTCAACTTCATCTTAGCATACAAATATCTTAATATTTGTGTGTGTGTGTGTGTGTGTGTGTGTGTGTGTGTGTGTGTGTGTGTGTGTGTGTGTGTGTGTGTGTGTGTGTGTGTGTGTGTGTGTGTGTGTGTGTGTGTGTGTGTGTGTGTGTGTGTGTGTGTGTGTGTGTGTGTGTGTGTGTGTGTGTGTGTAGGGTTGGAAGGCAGTCTCCTCAGTGTGATTTGTGTGGGTTGGTGCTTGGACGACTTCTCATATGCGTGCTGCCTGATGAGTCAGCTCTCTATTTCTAGTAAATCCAAACTCCTAGACACATGGGAGCAGACACACACACACACACACACACACACACACACACACACACATTGGGAAGGGAAACTATTGCATTTAATAAGACGTGGGTGAGATGAGAGAGAGAGACAAAGGAAAGAACAGGAAGACTGAGAAATACAGACAGAGAGAGAAAGCCAAGCGGCCAGCTACCGACTTATTTCAGACACAATGGGATGAAACGATAAGAACAGAGTGCTCCAAGGGCACCTGAAAGGTGGGGGAGGAGGGGTGAGGTAGGACGGGCCATCTTTAATCTAGTCTGCATTATTCGACTCACCTCTGTGGCTCGCTCTCTCGCACAGTCTTTCAAATGCGCTGCAGCCGAAAGGCAGGCTGGGCTGCAGAAGACCACAGATGTCAACTTGTCAGTCAATTTGACACCTGAACTCGTCGGGAGGGACTCAAGAAAGGAGAAAAGGGCAGACGGGTGACGTTAAATGTGAGATTAATGAAAAAAACAGGGAGAGTAGTAGTGAATAAATGCATGAAGAACTTCAGCTTATATTTACATTCACATTCATCTGACTTGCAGTCAAAATGTCCTGTCACAAGTATTCTACAGTCAAAGCTCACGATACTAAAAGTTTTTTTTTTGGCAGATTAATGATTCAAACTCTAAGGATTTTCGTTTTTTTGTTGTTATAAACCAGCAGAAACCAGAAGCAGAAAATTCCCACTTTGCGAGAACTTGTTTAAATCTTGCATGCACTACTTACAGACAATCAGACACTCATTCTCACAGCAGAAGCAGTTAGACAATTACGCTGTTAAGTTGTTTTCTTTAATAGGTTTCAACAGACTCGACAACTGTTGAACCATTAGGGAACAAATGGGATTCATTCAAACGTCACAGAGTCGGCTTGTGTTGCAAATATTGGTCAGTTTTTCGTGTTCTAATCACTGTCTGACAAAAACCAAAACAGAAGCGTAACATTAGACTCCCTTTTTTTTGAATGAATGTAGATGTTAATGATAGGTACCAGGGGAGGAAAATAGGTCCAAAGAGAAGAATATGAGAGAGTATGGTTGTTGGTATTGGTAACACAAGTATGAACTACCATCCATCCATTATCTACACCGCTTTTTCCGTTCATGCAGAGACAGCCACACTCACATTCAATCAAATAAAACAAATGTTATCTCAGGACACTTTACAAAGAGCAGGTAAAAGACTTTTGTTATATAATAATACGAAGACCGTAAATCCATCATGAGCACAAACTGCGTCACAATCATTCACTCGCTGATGCCAGCTGAAACGGGGTCATAGCTGACAGTTGCTCGTCTGCAGCCACACATGCTGCAATTCTTTTAAACAGTGAAATAAAATGGTATGATTTAGAGTACTGCGAGGAGAGACCTGATAAATGGACAAGTAATAACTTGTGTGCTTTGTAATAAAATATGCCACTGGTCATTTAGAAATGGATCGACTGTGGCTGTATGCTAGTTGTTATGCAGAATATTTCATGTGTTCATCTGTGTATATTTGCTTAAACATTGCGATAATGCCGAATCCTCCAGCTTCTCTTCCAGCTGCATTATGTTTGTTTCAATGTTTGTTGTTGTTTTTAGTCGTTAATTTAGCTTGAAAAATCAATAATGTGAAAGTGCTTTTAATGTTTCCTTAATTTATTTATGTTTATTGGAAACTCTGGAAGGTCTTGCAACCATGAGAGTATAATAATTTCACTATAATCGTGCAATTTCTTTTTGTGGCACTGCCACAAAAAAAAAGCCATTCCAATAGCCACTAATTTGTAGGCTATTAGTGATAGCCCGTAAACGAATTCTGCAGCTTCTGTGCCATTGTGAGTGTGTGTGTGAGTGTGTGTGTGTTTGTCCTCTATCTGTGGTAATTATATTTGACCTGGTCAATTGGCAACTCTGGCTAACAGCGCTGCTCTGTCCTCCACCGGGTCTCTGTCTCTCTATCTTGCTATGTTAGTGGAGTGATTTGTTTTTGCTGGTGCAGCATGCTAGCTTAGCTGCTTGTTGCATTCATCAGTGCATTTTTTTTAAATCTCCTTTCACTGAGGGAAGAAAGCATGCAGCATAGTTGAGGAAGTTTCTACTCAGAAATGTAAAAAAAACAAGTAGTAAAAAAAGCCAGCTTTGATAGTAACAGAACTTCTGTTTTGCCTGATTCGGTATACGCATTTGTCAGAACTGAAGTGTCAAGACCAGAAAGACTTTTTTTTTTTTTTTTAAAAGTTTGTTTCAAGCTTTGTTTTTTAGACTGTTTTCCGCAGTTAGGGAGAAAGAGGAAAGAGCATGAGAGAGAGAAACGATGAGAAAAATATGGAAACAAAAATAACTACAAGCAGTAAGCAAAGGAGGAAGCGCTGAATAAATGAGGAGGATAATGGTGAGGAGGATGAAACGGAACAAATCAGGGTTTCTGTAGCAACTCTAGTCCTGCAGCCAAGCTGCTGCGCACACATCTGCTTACATAAACATTACGTTTTATTACAGGAGCTACAATTGTCCTGTTGGTGATAGTTACATTTACGCTTGAGGGAGTTTTGGCTCAAATTGTGTGTGTGTGTGTGTGTGTGTGTGTGTGTGTGTGTGTGTGTGTGTGTGTGTGTGTGTGTGTGTGTGTGTGTGTGTGTGTGTGTGTGTGTGTGTGTGTGTGTGTGTGTGTGTGATTAAAAGTGACCCAGTAGCAGTCCAAGGCCAAGACAGCTCAGCCCGCCTCCAGCAGGAGTTTAAAACAACATCAGGAAACCACTAAGCGGCCATTGAGGGAAAACCGCTGACCATTAGCATCTCTGCCAGTCTGTGTTTATTTGATGCCGCTTGTTATTACCAATGTTTTCGACGTTTTTAAGTGCACCTTTTCATTTTAATTTAGCACCGGCCCCTATAGGGACCCCCCTATATGAGGACTTCCCAGTCTGTCTCAGTATGAGGGAAGCTTACAGGCTCGTCCGCAGCAAACCCAATTTACCGCTGGCTGTGGCCGCCGGCCTTTCAGAAGGCCTCCGGAGCTCACTGCTGCTAAGTCTGTATGACCAATCAGAGGAACACTTCAGCAAGCCTAGGACTGAGGGAGAAAGAGAGAGAGAGAGATGGTGGTGTTCACACATTGGATGTATTTATTACTGCTCCAGAATGCTGTTACTTTTATTACAGGCTTTGTTCTGGCTGCAGTGCTCTGTAATCACTTTTGCTCTCTGTCTCTCTCTCTCTCTCCCTCTCCATCTCCGTCTGTCTTGCATTCTCATCCTCCTCTTTCTTTCCGCCTTGATTTGATGCTGCGC